CTAGTCTCTCTGACTCCAAATCCCATACTGATAACTATTCTATTCTGTTGCTCATGTGTGTCTGTTGAATGATATGTCTAGCCTCCTGGTTCTGTTCTCAGCTCCAGCCCTGTGTCCTGGGGTGACTGGAGGGGTCTAGAGTCCTGTTTTCCCCAAGCAGCTTCACAACCGGGAAGGGAGGAGAGAGATGGGGGAGGAATGGAGGAGAGGACACATTCCAGACCCCAGTATTAATTCCAGTTGAAGTCAGGGCTAGTGGAGTGCATGCCTAGGGCATGCCTCTAAGGGCACCTGGGTGGGCAGAAGCAGGCATTGCATATGTGCCCAGGGTTAGAATCCCCCTTGCTGAACACTCTCCATCCCCATGCCACTCAGGCAGGCAGTGGGCCTGTCCTTTGCTTCTCAAGATGCTTAAAAATTAAATGGATGGGTGAATGTTTGCTCTTTACTATTTCCAGCTGTGTGACCATAGCTAAGTTATTTCCTTTCCCTGAACTCAGTTCCTCCACTTATAAAATGAAAGCACTGGATTATCTCAAGTTCCTTCTAGGTCTCTGATTGCTGCCCTGGCCCTGGTAAGGAGATGGGCATCACCTAGCGAGTCCCAAGGGGCTCCAATAGGCAGAAGCTGAGACCCAGACAGATAAGCAGATACATGTTTGCCCTCTCAGAGCTCAGAATCTAAGCCTGGCCAATGCTTTCTGTTTATCTAGTCCAAAATCTCATTTGTCTGTCCCCCAACTGATTCCTCCAACCCTTCTTTTTCCTCCTCCCCACCTCCAGACGACTCAGTGGTTGGAGATCTTACAGCGGCTTTGCCTGCATGACTGCACTGTCAGTCCAACACCGGGGCCTGGTCATTGCTTACAACCTGCTGGCAGCCGATGCTGAGCTGGCCAAGAAGCTGGTGGAGAGTGAGCTGCTGGAGATCCTGACTGTGGTGGGCAAACAAGAGCCAGATGAGAAGAGGGCAGCAGTGGTCCAGACAGCTCGGGAATGTCTCATCAAATGCATGGAATATGGCTTTATTAAACCAGCGTCTTAGACAGGAGCCCAGGGGATGCTGGGGCTGCTCCTGCACCGTGCAGAGTTCTGAGCTGAGACCTCCTGGGGTGTCAGTTCAGCTGGGGATCACAGCAGTGACAAGGAAGCCTCCATATAAAAGACGGACGTAACTGCTCCCTGAGTTGTGACTCTTGCCCTTTGCTCCAGGAAAGATTGGGTCTTTCATTAGCTCTCTTACTCCTTACATCTTTTATGTTCCAGAGATTCCTAGAATAA